CTTTTGATAAAATGTGACTTTCTGATAAAATTTCACATTCCGTCTTTAATTTCGGTGTTTTAACAATGCTCGATAATTTTTATATGTGAATAAATTGAATTATTTAAATAATGACAATCAAATACGTCTCTCTCTCTCTCTCTCTCTCTCTCTCTCTCTCTCTCTCACAAACATATATATACTCATACTTATGCACATGCATATTTATACGTACAGAGACACGCGAACGAGAGTAAATCTGAAATGAGGGTTCACCGAAATTACAAGAAATCGGCATTACAACATCCTTTAAGGTATCTCAGCGGCGACAACGTTCAACGTTAATTAGTTTTGCTATATTTACATTTAAGGGAAAGATCGATCAAATATATTGTGTGATATAGTTGTGCGATATAGTACAATAGCTTGAGATCACATAATAACATTGAATTGCGATAATACAGGATACTATTGCTCATTATTATTACTATGATTATTGAAGCGAGAATAGTAATAACAATAATCCCGCCAAAATACATGGCAGGATATTTATAATTTGGATAACAGTAATTAGAACAGCAATTAATCATAGATTTAAAAAAGGAGGAAATTATAGATTTAATTTAAATTTATACGCACGGCTCGAAAAATCGTCACATTTTCTCACATATCCTTTTTTATTTCTATATATTTCTTCGTTTCTCTCATTTCCTGTAATTTACTGCGCCTTTTTTCTTATATAGATTTTTATAGACATTTTTAAATATATGTATGTCGACGAAGTGAGCGTTGGCAAAGGATTCGCGAATCGAATTGACTCGCGTTTCGTACCGGGAGTAGGTGCGCAAAATCTCACGCACCTTGTATGTTTCGGAATCCGCAGTGGAAAACTGTAGTCTAATACCGTAATAATCTCGTGCAATCATTCGTCTCAGATGTGCGTCTCTTACGGACCTCGCTTATATTCGTCTTTGTTTAACTACACGAACAAGATTTGCACAAGACATCAAGAAATATGCCATCATGGCGATAATGAAGACTCTAAATTGTAAGTTTAACTGTATCTCTAGATTTTTATAATATTACGCTTTTACAGCGTAAACTCATTAAGCAATATTCTTGCAATTAGAGATGATAATGATTCCAAGCATTAAGCAAAACGCACTACGTTCTAATTACGTATACCTCTTTTTACTTTTTACGTTTTTGTGGCTATATCGAGAACTGTATCACAGCCTCGACAAATATGTCGGATCTGATAGCTTAGGATCTCAACAAGTACTTTTCTCATATATGTCGTACATATACACGAATAGTAACAAGACGCCGATACGTAATAAATACACGACAATTTTTTTTCAAATTTAATGTTTACACGAAGATTACACCACATAAAGTGACACGTATATATTTCGTACATAAATATACGTCGTTTCACATTACGGATAACATATTGCTACGCTACTTTCTATATTGCTTCTACGAACGTGTTCTATTTTCGCGGGGTCCAGTCGGCAGATCACGAGAATTGCCATTTGTCCGAATCGCGAGACAAATAAATCGTCGCAGCTAGAGTTTCCCGCGGCGAATCCTCATAAAGTTTATCATATAATTCGCAAATCCTGCGAACGCTTCGTACCTCGTCTCTACTCTATCTTATTCTATTCTACTCTCTTTCTCACTCTCATTCACCCAATCTCTCTCTCTCTCTTTCTCTCTCTCTCTCTCTCTCTCTCTCTCTCTCTCTCTCTCTCTCTCTGCATAATTTTTTCTAATATAAGTTTAGATACTATTCTCTGTCCCGACAAATTCCATGGCATTCTCTATACCTTCTTTCTTGCATGCGTTGTGAAATGGCGGAAAACGGAAATTAATCTCGAAGAATTCATCGAGAAACGCCGGAATTTGCGACAAGCTCGTACTCTTCTCTTTTTCCTTCTTTCTTTTTTTTCACGTTTTATTCTCTCTCGTTTACCTATAGCGAATGAGATCAGCGAGTTTCGGTAAATCGTATGCGCCAGAGTACTTCGCGTAAAAATGTCGTATTGTTCTTACGACGAAAATACAAGATCTGATCGTGGCCGTATTGCAATTACGAAGAACTCTTTAAAAGACCCAATCGTTCCTATCGTCGGTTTCCCTGCAGCCATTCAGGGAAACCAAATCGGGCGGTTCTTCTCAACGTAGGACTGGAATTCCTTTGTACAATTTTTTTTCCGGAAGAATACAGGAGTACCGATATACCGACCGCGCGATATCGATTATCTCGTTCCATTATTCTGTCTCGGTTGATCTTCTGATTCATTTTTAATAGAATTATGCCTTCGACTTTTTTCTATACATTTATTATCTCTACAACTGGCATTGTATATAATTATGCATCGTGAATTTAGTGAAGCCTTTACATTTAAAGATAACTTTTGCATCGTGTGCCTGCTCT